TCCAGAATACCGCTATAACTGACTTCACCTTTCGCTTTGTTCAACACTTGAAGCCGTGTTTTGACGACATCGAAAGGGTTGACAGACACGGCGGCCACCGAACCCGCGCAACAACCGGCCAAAAATGATGCCTTCGTTTCAATTTTAAAAGCAAAAATTCTTACAATTCATAGCAAATTTGAATGCCATTCATATTTACCCAAAACACAGACTCTCCGGAACCGTCTTTTCGTTTTGGGCCTAATTTGTTGAGATTAGCAAAGAGTGGGAAATAGATCATCGAGAATGACACGTCTCTGAGCATTGTTGCAGCGGTTCCTCTATAGAGGCCAAGTATTCCTCGAGTCTTTAGCAGTTTTAGTGCGATAGCTGTGGCAGACGTGGCGACGATCGCTTCTCCCCCTTCAATAACACCTAATGTGAAACAAAACATTAATATTTCCATTAAATGAAAACACATTAGTGACAAACCTTTGGCCGAAACTCTTCCCGCATCTTGTAATTGAATCTTCAATAGTTCCATAGGAGTGGTCACTGATTGTCACAATCATATATTTTAGTTCTAATAATTACAATTATAGAAATATTTGGTTACAAACCTATTATTTGGCAAAAACCGGCCGCACCTCCAGATATCATTTCCCGTGCGATCGATAATTTACTGATTGAGATAATTGTTTATCAAATCAATGAACCAATTATTGGGTAAATGTATTGTAAATTCAAACCCGTATTCATCCGTCAATTTATATCTGAAGAAGTCATTCGCCGCTAATTTAATGGCCTTTTCGGGTGTTATAAGGAGTATATTAACAGCGGATCCCCTATACATACCAAAGAAGCCGTCTTTTCGAAATGTTTTCGCAAAACAATCAAACCTTTAGTGATATTCACATCAATATTAATAATATTCTCCACAATTAGCGACAATATTTCAATATATCATACATTGATCTATACATGAGTTGTCCATTTGGACCCATTTGTTGGTTTTGGAGTCGGGTTTTGACTGCAATGATAATAAAATCAATATTTCATTAATCGGGGGTATGTAATGTAATTTGATGACAACCCACCTAGGTCGATTGGGAACACACATGTTACTCCGATAACACCCGCAATGCCTCCGTTCACTATTTTCGGTAATAGCCTTCAATGCATTCAATTGTTATTACCGTTAAATTCATTATAAATGTGTTACTAATGAATACATACGGAAATTCTGTCTTCATATTTGATTCAATGAAATAAATTACAGGAAATAATAATATTAATAACAAAACGGATGAATATGTTGGAAGAAAATGTGTGGAAATAATAGGAAAATTTAATTTAACCCAAAAACTAGTCGATAAAACACTTAAACAAATAAATAGTCTGCGAATCGAGAAAAACAATTATGAAGTGAACTGAGATTCAAAGTAACCAATAATTGTTATTAAATCATATGAAGAGTAAATAAAATGTATATAAAAACACATCTAATGCTATGTGAATGAGATTGTGATGTGAGACCACTCTCTATGTCACTAATGTTTTGCTCTCGCAATGAATGTATGAATGACTGACTTTTTTCAATACATTTTACGCACAAATCAATACGCAATGCGTTTTTTATGATAAATATGCCGACTATTGGCTCGCATTTCATTGAAAAAAGTTTTATTTTTGACAATACTTTTTGACCCCGAGATGTTTGATAGTGTGATAACTTTACTTATTTGTCTAATGAACTAATTATAATGAAATCTATTTATAAATGAATTTGTTTTCAATTTGTTTTTAATGTTATTTTTGAATTACTTGTGATCATAGCCTTGAAATCATTTATATAGTGTTGAAAATATTCCTATGTATTAAATTTATTTCTAATTTGTTATACTTTCTAATACTTTTATGTTTAACTTTAAAAGTATTACAAAAGGATTAAAACATATAAATTGAATTCCACTTGTTATAAATAAATTGTTTGTTTTGGCAAATAATGTGCAATAAACTTATTCTGCATCATATACTCAGTTATAACATTAACATAAATGAATATAATATTCTGTATAAGTTATACAGTATAACATGTATAACATTCTGTATATTGTTTCAATAATTACTAATCATATGATAAAAATATGAATTATGTAATTATTTAACTTTCATGTGTAACTTTCACATGATTTAATCATTCTCTACTATAAATTTAATAATATATCAAATATTAAATATTATAGATTATACTAATTGGTATAAAATAAATAATTTTATGAAATTGATAAAATATTGCAAATATTTTGCAAATAAAACATAAATTTAAACAATGAGTGATTGTTTGGTAACTGATGTATGTTTGGAAATGACATTTTAAAACAATATTTAGTAATTTTGAAGTTCTGTTAATTCAATAAAAGTTAAGTGTTTACTATTTTAAACAATAAAACCCAAAATATATCATATTATACAAATCATCATTTATTAAACACTCAATTATAGACAAACCCTTATCTGTGGTAAAATACACACATGTATTTCACACAATATTACTGGTCATGTCATCATTTTAATCATTATATAAATTAAGTTTAATATTACGTAAATTAAGTGCAAATTAAGTACAGAATGTGTGAAAATGTATTGATATCTAAATATTACACTATTATTAATAACAATCTGAAAGTTTATCAGTAAAATGCAAACTAGTCACAATTTAATAATTAAAATTAAAATTCTAAAAATGACATTGGTCATAAATTTATTTAAAGTTCCAATACTTGTTATAGATAATTTAATTTGACATAAATTTACAAACATTTATTGAACAGACAATACAATCATTGGTTTCATTCAAATGCAGTGATTAATAAAAATCATAATAAACTATAATTAAAATTAATGATAAAAATAAAATTAATAATTGAATGAATTGTTGGCAACAAAAAAGTTGCCAAAGAATTGCCAAAAAGTGTATTAAAAGTGAACGTAATTTATGTGTAAAACTGAATGAAAACATTGAATGAAAGCATTTGTTGTGTGAATTGAATGGCGTTTTCAATCATTGAATCAATTAATTAGTATTGAAATTGGGATCAAATGAAGAGCACTCTTCGGTCGGTGACCACAATCTGCTGACAACACCGCAAACCGCAGACCAGTTGTGCGGACACACGTGTCGACCATCGCTGGAGTGGCAGTCAATGGACGCCAACGTGTTTTCGGTGAGTATTTTTTGATG